TCCTCAGTCACTTCACTTGCTATTCCAGAAGTCATAGGCTTTCTACAGTCTTAGAATGGCATTCATACCACAGGCTCCACAACAAAGCCTTAAGTGCTTTCTTCACATCCCCTAGAAAAAGCAAAAAACCCCCAAACCCTGACATCCTCTGTGAAGCCAAATAGCAGCTCTACAGCATTATGAGCTTGTATCCAAATACTCATCTTAACAGTTATCATTACCTGCTTTTCATTGCTTCAGTTATGTCAAAGGCATATCTACCTCATGGTGTCTCACCATGGCAGACTATCGTCAGAAGATACTGTTGAAGGCCACCTTAAACAAGCTGCAGAATTTCAGTCTCAAATACTGCAAGAGGTACCAGGCTGTAAGACTGGGGAATTAGAAATGAAGAGGCAAATACACAACTAATGCTTTTTGGTGTCAGTTGGAAAAGAAAATGGTCAGGCAGGTTAATTCTTTACAAAGCACTGTTTCCAACTAATTTTAGTGTTGAGCATAAGCCAGATCGTATGTCAGCTTCTCTCCACTCACCTTTGTGAAAGGAAAAGGTATGAGGAAAGGAGAATAGGTCTGGAGCAAACGTTGTTTCCCCATGCCATCCAATACATGTTCTTCATTAGTTCTAAAGCTGACAAGCAGTTCATTAACTTCATGAGCTTCAGTACAGGTCAGGCTAATTTTAGCTCTGATACCACAGGCAAAGTCCAGGTCAGTACTGAGGGGTTTTGCTTTTCTGGTGTTTTGTTTTTGTTTTTTTTAATTTTAAGTTAGCACCATTTTTAGTTCAAGTGAAACAGATTATTTCAAGCTTCTCATTAAACAGCCATGCTCAAGCCCTTTAAAAAAATTATCAATTCTTTTCTCCTTCAACAGTTCACTTTCTGTGGAATAAAAATACCACATCTCAAGCATTTGTGTAATTCCATACCACACACATATCTTAGATTGGTGACAAAGGAAAGATTTTTCAGCACCAAATCTGCAATAAAACAAGTTTTTAGATGGCAACATTGACAATCTGACATTTTTAAGGAAAACCATAATTCACTTTTTCAAAACCAAAACCTATTTAAGCTTCTTACCTGGACACAATCTGCAAAGAAAGGAAAAAACATGTAAGAAGTGTTTGCTTGAAAACACAACAATTATGCACTTACCAATGCTGACATGTGAATGTATAAACAGCATTCTCTATGAGACACTGGAACAACCCAGTGCCGTGAGACCAGTTAGACCATGATTTGAATTTCTGAAGCAGTGATGGACAACTTGCTGTACAGAAATCAGCTTGCCTCTACAGTCTTACTGCCAAGGAGGGTTTTGCAACAAGGTAGGTTCCAGAAATAATACTAAGATTCTGTAAGAAATTCACCTGAGACACAAGTGTTTTCTGAAATCCCCTAAAACACAACTTATGACCAAAGTAAAGAGTCGTGAGAGAGAAACATGAAGGAGCAACATGCTGTCTCAGCAGTAGAGACAAAGCTTTCGAGAATAAGTTATTATTTTTAATGTCTATTTTCTGCCTTTACAGGCAAATAGCACATGTCCAGGGACGTAAGTAAAGACCGGACAAGCACACCAGGGTTCTCTGCCAGTATTCTTTGTAGTGTCCAGCAACTCAGGGTTCAAAAGGATTTTCTAACCCAGAGATGCTGCCTTTATATTTAACAGCCTTTAATGGGTTCGTTTTTCAAGTATTGGTTCAGTTCTTTTCAAGTCATGTAATCTTTAACATTAATGAGATTTTTTTTGTTTCTTTGGGTGTTTTGCTTTGTTGTTTGGTTTTTTTTTTTCAGGGGGAAGGGGTTGTTAAAGATGAGTGCCATAGCTCACCTTCAAGCCTGTGGAGACCATCTCATTTTGTATGCTTTGAGCCACCACCGGCAGGTTCCATTTAATAACCTCTAGTCCTGGTATCAGGAGAGACAGTGAACAATCACTCCCTATTCATCCTCTCCCTCTGCCACTTGTGATTTTATGGACTTTTATCATTCCCTCTCAACCATCTGCCTTTCAGTCTATTTAGTTATCCTTACACAGGTGTTGCATGCTATTCATCATTCCTGTCAGCCTCTTCTAAAATCTTTCCCAGTTTTACTACATTTGGTTTGCAATGGAAGAAACCAGAACCACGCCATGTTCAAGATGCACATACACGGCAGATTTATGAATATAAATTATTTAATGGATTAACAATGCTTTATTTTCTTCTCTATTTGCTTTATAGTAATTCCCAAAATTTTAATTAAAATTTTAACCTCTATTAAGCTGACATTTTTAAAGATCTACGAAAAACCCAAGATCTTACTTCCAAGTAGGAATGGCCACACACTAATGGTCCCCAGGAGTTATGTGAAATGCCTGTTTTCTCCTATGTGTTACTTCACATTTCCTGCACTGAATTTCATCTACCATTCTATCATCTAGTGAGGTAAGGCCCTTCCATAATTCTTCAGTCAGTCATCTTTACTACTCTGAACATCATCTGCAAACTTTGCCATATTTCTATGCAGCCCTTTTCTCCAAAAGGTCACGAGTATACTGTAAAGCACAGGCCTAGGCACAGATACCTGCAAGACTTCATTGCTAATTTTTTTTTGCCATGAAATGTGATGATTTATTCCTGCTTCCTATTTGCTGTCTTTTAATCAGTTACTTAACCATCTTTGAACCCTTCCTCTTACCCTACAGCAGCTTGCTTTCTCTAACAGCCTGGGATGGAACCTTGTCAAAAGCTTTCCCTTTCTGAAGGTCATTTCCATATTGCTGCCAGTGCTGTATATGTAGCTCAGTTCCTGCTTTACAGGCAGCTGAAAATGATTAAAACTTGACCCTTCCTGCTCTTCTGATTCTACTGTAACATGTTTCATTCCAGTTTGACCTGCTACTCCCTTCCTTCCCGGTGTTCATCCCCTCCCTTCTTCCCAACTGAGTAATGTTATACACATTCAACAAAACTAAAACAAAAGAAAATATTTCTTGATATTATTTGTTTACAGAGCTTTCCAGCTTGTATAAGCTTACAATATTAAAGGAAATACAGCCACATCAAAATTAGTCTGAAATCTGTCCCGCATTTATTACATGTTAAAAATGAAATCAGTTCCCACATACTGTTATGTAATTTCCCATCACCTTCACACTGCAAGCCACATACATTAGCTGACAATAAAGCTTCATTAGACCTTTATTGCTAATGTGAAGAAAGTTTTAAAGAGTTCTGCTGTATACTAAAGATATACTGCAGGGTTTGGGGGGGGGGACACACGCACAAACGAATAAGGTTTTGTGTCTGAAAATTGAAAGCTCTGCATATAAAGCTGCAGCCCAACCAAGGATTTTGATACTCAGACAACTGAAACACTGCTGATTTGTAAATGTAATTTTTCTTACAGTATACAGGTGAATAGCTCATGCCTAATTACAGATTGAGACAATTTGAAACAGCACAAGTTTAAAATCTTAATGCAGATGATCAGACCATTAGAATTTCCAATGAAGCATTCATTCTGGAGCACACAGGCTGCATTGTAACACAAATACAAACAATAGTACAGATGATTTAATTAGATTACTTCACTCCTATGAATTCTTCCAAACAAGCTCTTTAAGAAAGCCAGAAACAGACTTCAACTTTCATGTTTTCTGGATGTTTTGGCCTATGGCAGTCAGTCATGCTCTCAAAGCATGTTCTCACAGAAGCAGCTGTGTATACACAACAAATCACATTTGGACATGTTTCGATCCAAGAGCGGGTAAGGACAAGCAGAGGTGAGCAGCAGGCTGGCCCTCAACACTACCACCAATGGTTGCCATAACAACGGGAGGAATCACAGAAAGAGGCCGGTATTGATCTTTCCATCCCATGTTCTTGCCATTTCTTCAGAGTCGTCTTACACAATGCTACCACAACCAACACCGTTGCACATACCCTAGTTCTGAAGTTAATGGGAAATAATAGTGATGAAAAGGAACAGGGAATAATTACTGCTGCGGTTAGCCCGAGTACACAAAGAACAGGCAGCAGAATTTTCATCTTAACAGTACGCTATGCCAGAGGAAAGGGGGCATCAGTACGTACAGACGTGCTTCTCCATGCCTTCCATTTACATCTCACGTTTTCTGTGCATTCTCCTGCAGGGCAGCATCTGCCTGTTCTCAGCATTTGTAACAAGAGAGTCACCAACACCTGGGTCAGCTATTGCGAAGAGTAGGATATAGCAGCGGATGTTTTGTGCTTAGTTGAAAGCCTGCTACATCATGTCAGCGTGCTGCAGAATGGCACAGAGCCAAAAGGATAAGGAAGAGAGACTACTTACAAACACTAAAGAGATTTTCCAGGTTAACAATGGCATAGCTCCAGAGCCTCTCAAAATATACGACAGCAAAACTAAGTTTTATAAACATGGGATAATACATGAGTGTATAAGAGATTTCGCTAAGGACTAATATCGTTTCCAAGAACAACACATAGCTCAAAATTGCATTTAGTTTGCAAATGACAGGATTTTAATTTCTTGATACTACCATAAGGCTTAAATGAAAAATATATTTTGAAGGTTTCACCTCCACCATTAACATTTCTTCTTAGGATATGCAAAATTGGAGAAAAACCTGTTTAAAATATTAGACTGAATTAAGAAAGCCTTTTAAGACCATTCCCAACTGTATCTATAGACACTGAAGAATGACCAGAATAGTTAGTAGAATGTGGCCCTAGCTAAGAACAGAAGGCTGTTTATATCAGAAAGATAAAATATTATTATTGTAAACAAGTAGATCGCTTTTGCTACATGCACCCTACATTGTTCCAGTTTTATATCAGCATAACACCTCTGTAATTACTATATTTGCAATAAAGCTGAAGTAATAAAGCAATAGTATGGGAAGTACCCAGTATATCCAGAAACGTTATAATTCACAAAGTGATTAATCCCTCCAAAAAAAAAATAATCTACATAGCACAGCCTTCAGAAAATACATCATAGTTTTCCAAGGCAAATACAAAAGACAAATTAAAAGTGTCTGTATTAATACAGATATTCTTAACAAAATTTGAACATTTATACTTAATAAAAATAGGTCCTGAAAAAAACCCAAACAATACCTACCGACTGTGTACATCAAGATAACAACTCCACCAGAATCCAAACAAATTATAACAGTATGTGATATTTAAGAGCTCTGGGAACCCTGTTAATAACAAGTCTGCCATCATAACTTAAAGAGGCAAATAGCCACGGGTCTGCTGAGGACCATTCAACTGCATATACACTATCTTCATGTTCTTCATAGGTAGCTATTACACTGTCCTGAATGGGCTCTTTAATCCTAAAATTGAAGGAAAAAGAAAAGGAAAAAAAAAAAAGAAAATAGTAAGGATCTGTGAACACTCTTGATTTAAAAGGCAATATTAAGTGTCACATCTAGATACACAACCTCCCATTTAAAGTATAAGAATGCAGTAGTAGGCTCTAAGGAAATATTTTATACTAGATATCTGCACGTACCTATGTTTTAGATTAATACAGCCGAGTTAAGTCAATGTTAAAGACCCCATTTGCAGGGACAAAGTACCTGTTATTCTCAATTTCGGTACGTTTCCAAGTGTCTCAGAACCTACACTAATCACCTCTCTCTCTAAAGCAAGTTAAACTACGAGGTATGATCTAAATCCACTAAATCAACATCTTTTCTCTCACCATGCTCCACCCCTTCCTTTCTCCCTTTGTTGTTAATTGAATTCTTAAAGTAATATATAATCTTAGAGACACATAGGTAGGTAAGAAGTTGCAGTCCTTAACATCACAATCTCTCCTGTGCTGCCACCCTGGACCCATTCTCTCCAGAACAGTGGAAGGGAGATGGAGATACCACTCCAAACGCTCTAATTTTTATCTCCCATTCCTAGAGTTATACCAACACCGGATTCTCACCTATCGTCGTATACCTCAGCTCTCATGCAACACCCACAGCTCCCGCTCACCTACATCACAAGGGACAGACAGATTCTCTTTTTCACTGTAAGTATTTAAGAACAGATTCAAGCTATTCTCGGAGGTCCAAACCGCCCAAGAGTCATCGATTGTGCTCTGCCAGCTGAGAACAGCCCTTCTCCCCTCCACTCACAGAGCCGAGCCAATCCCTCCTCTCACAGCAACACCACAGCACATTATTCTGTAGCTGCAGGGTAGGTGAGTTTTCAGAGGATGACCTTAGAGCTCCTTCACCCACAGAGGATCACCTCTGTCTGACAGGAATCAGTCGGCCTTTCAGAAGCATCCCCCTGCCTCCCAGAAACAGCCTCGTATTAAGGCTGCAATCCTCCTAACAGAAAGCAAAGACAAAGAGCCTTGTGACTGCCACTCAATCATTTAAACAGATGCTACTACAGGAACGAAGTGTTGTTATTGGCCGTCTTTGCCCTTTACCGCTGCTCTGTGAAAGCACAAGTCTTGACAATCACAAAAAGTACATGGTATCATATCTGAATCGCTTGCAGGATATGGCTGCTCCACCTACCCAGCCTAACCAGCTGCGAGTCTAACACCACAATTAAAATTCAATTGAATTTAATGAATAAATGAAAAACAGTCTGATACTGCAGAACAGCTTCAGATATTTAGTTTCAAGGACTTTTATCATTTACTTATGCTACATTTAAGGTCAACTGACAAAAAAAGGTCATAGCAACCCCTGGTTAATTGCAAAGAGCAGGCTTGTTTCACAGTCCTCCTAAATATGTACTTTGATCCAAACCATCTAACAGCAGAGAGCTAATAAACACACACACACACAGGCACTTCATCTCCCGCAATGTGTTCTTCTAACTTCCTGTTAACTGACATGCCTGGTTAAGTGAAAGTTGGTCACGTCCCCAGACAGCAATGTGCTTCATGCGGTGCTCACCCACTTACCCACAACTCCATTATTCTGAAGGTTTCAGATGTCTCTCCGGATAAGCAGGGGAGTAATGCACGGTGCACATGGCTGTCAGGGGACACGACCGACTTTCAGTTAACCAGGAGTCTCGGTTAACCAAAGGTTGGATAAACAAGGACAAACAAGTTTCTAGATCATACTATTTTCTGTATGCTCTGAGCTGTTTCAGCATTTCATTTAAATAACACAGTTCATCTAATTTAATTTACAGAAGTCATAGGGGAATGAGTGTTCAGGAAAGACGCCCGTAGATGAACTTCTGTTTGCCATTTCCATTTATGACTACAATTTTAACTGTCTTTTATTATTGTCTATACACTGAATTTCTCCTTGGGCATGAAAGTGATTTTGTGCCTTCCCAGAAAAAGAAAGCATGCTATTCCATGTGGTTCCGCAGCCCGTGTGAGTTCAGTTTTTAGTGGGTTTTTTGTTTGTTTGTTTTAAATAGTGTAGATCTATGATAATACTATGTGTAGACTACTTGTGCGTAAGAATGGCATAGCCTTGAGACAGTTATTGAGAATCTGATAAAATTCTTATGGAAGTGATCGCTTGGTGTAAAAGAGCTAGATACTATACAAGATAATCAGGGAGGAAAAAAATAATCTCAAAGTGACATGTGTCTCAGGAACAACACAGAAGATCCAAAAGAAACTGTCCACGAGCATCCTTTACAAACACTATGAATGAAAATAGATTAGCCTTTAAATGATGTAATGGGTAATAAGCCCACACTGATTGTACTGGTGGAATAAAGAATAGAATTTATTTAATGTATGTGAAAGACTGTTAAAAATAATTAAAAAAACAGAAGCAGCAAGGTTGGTTGTGGTGCGTTTTCTTTTCCTCACAACAGAAATCTCTTGGAGACAGACCATCTTACCCCATGATAAGAGACTTCCAAGAAAACACCTCAGTTTTGTCTGCATTTTGGCTATGTGTGTGCTTTTTTTGGTAATCTAACAATAGGTTGAGGATACTATTTTTGAATCTATATGAATCTAGGATATTTACAATTGTTCAGTTTCTGAGTCCCACAACAAACTATTTCCTCTCAATGAAATTTTACACAGCTTTTGCACATTTTTATTTATTAAAGAATTTGCTCAAACTCTCCTAACTCCCATGATATTAAACATAGTTTGGTTAATGCAAGAAGTTACAGACTTAACAGCTACGACACCAACATTTATTTAAGCAAGGTAACAAATAACCTTTTCAAAACAATTTATATATCTGTATATAAAAAACAGTCTACAAAAAAGATTATTTTGGCCACAGCACATACTAGTGGAACATACACAAACCAACTTATATTTATCTTGAGATGTTTTTGTCTATTTAGATATTTTAATTATCCTTCTGTTTTTATCAGCTGCTACAATTTTATTTCTCCTTAACATACAATAGGTAATTTCAGAGCCTAAGATAACATAGCACTGACAAGTGTATTTTTTCTAATATGCTAGTCATAATGTAGCAATGAGTAAAAGCATACTGCTATACTTGCATGTGCATGATTCTTATCTCTGAAACTTCCCATTTCATAGTTACCACCCCTGATGACAATGCCCAGGTTATTTGCCTTCTTATGTTAGATGCATGACACCGGACACAGAAGGGGAGAGCATTCAAAGTGGACTGGATACTAGGACAGTCATCAGACCTTTGGTAGGTTTTGGAACAGGGAGGAGAGTTCAGGAACTTAAATTTCTTGCCGGTTAGAAAGTTGAGAAACAGGAAGAGCATCTATACAGAGGCAGATATGAAGTAAACTTTCTTCGATGCTACTTTAATACGTGCAATTCAGATTGTTGCCAAAACACAGAGATTTCTGTTCTTACATGAAAGCTGCAGGTTACGGGTATAAAAAGGTTGTTGCTAAGCTATAGCTAGCTTAGTGTACCCCAGGTGTAGGTGCTTGCTCTATTGACCCCTTGAGAGAGCAGTCTGACTAGACTATATTTGATAAGCGCACTTAGTAATCAATTGTTATGCCTGGCAAGATTAGTAAATTATTTTCTTCCTGGTCCTAAATCTCCCTGCCCCTTAAAAAGTTCCTTTAGTTTCACATTTTCCTGTAGTATTTTAAAGAGTTTTTCTGGGCAGACTAAAGCACCTTTTTCTTTCCTTATATACGTTCTTGCATTGCATCAACTGACAAGGCATCAAACTCTTATGTCATCAAGAACTCATAGTAAGAAATTTTTAATCTCTACCTACATCCTGCATAAATTTAAGACCTGTGCCACACAGAGCTGAAACTGGACTGCTTTCTCTTTGTAGTCTTATTCACATAGCATGACCCCTACCAGCTTCTCCTATGAAAGGAGAAGAGCTTTCATTTTACTAGATAACTTTGAGGTTAATTGTGTTACAGACTTGAGAGAGAAGCCTGTTAAGCCTTGGATAATTGTTTTCATGTAGAGAGCTGTTATTTCCAATTACTTCTCATGCTAACAACCACTTAAGTTTGCAGTGCTTGCCATTCTGTTTTGTCACCACAATGTTCAATAAAATATGCTTTTCAGAGTCACCAAAAAATCATTAATTCCTTATCACAGTCAAAATTAAATCCTCTTCAATCTAATACTACTATGAAATAGATGTGACTGAATAGAGCAGGAACATGGACTGCAGTGTCCAAAATGAATCCTGAGAAGCATGCCAGTGGACTCCAGAATAAGCCCCATAGATGCCCTTTCCCTTTAACTGCAGGAGAAAACTTAGCAACTATGGTGAAAAAGATGGAAACCTAAGATTTCAGGAAAAACACACAAAAAAAAAATCCCTGATGTGAATTTTTGGTACAATCTTCAATAGATAACAAAGATAATGATAAGCTTAGAACATACTGTCAAAAAATATAGCATAAGGGAGAAGGCAGCAGAGTGACCTTAGCAATCACTTCTGCCAGTGGAAACACAGCAGACATCTTAAGTCTGTAAACTCCGAGGACAGCTAAGGGAGCGGATAGGTCATTCTGCAAAATTCAAGTTTAAGGATGGCTTCCTCTTCAGGACTGATGTATAAGCTCAAAGTGTTATTGACCATATAAATCTTTTCATTGGTAGGGATACTTTTTAAGGAAAAAAACCTTTTCTGTAAGTCCTCCATTATCAATTGAGATTTGTAATGAAGTTCTGGCCATAGAAGTCATGAAGACTGAAAACACTCTTGTAGATTTGCTCCTAAGGTAGCAAATGGTCTTCTCATGCAGCGTATCATCAACATACCAAACACAGGCCTACAGAGTTTAAAATTAAAACCTATAAGGCAAATAAATATATTGCAATAACTAAAGAAAATGAAACTTGATTAGTGACTAAAGATGGTCACACTAAACTGCAAGAACCTAGTAGGTTTTGTTTCTTGTTAGAAATTGCAATGTAGAATTAAAACGACAGACTAGTTTAATACAACGAAATATAGACTTGCTCACTAACGTAAGGATTTTGGACGACCAAAGAATGAAGAAAGGTTATAAGACAGTCACCACTCCCCTTTGGAGGAAGACAGTTCTCAGTGCTCTGTAGATGTCAAAGGGAACCAACAGGTACATTCAGGAGCGTTGGAGTTAAGGCAAGTCCTGTGTTGCAGGGAAGAAGTCCTTGCAACATCAGAGTGCAAAGCCATTAAAGGAGGAGAGGCCAAGGACAAGCCTGCCTTAATTGGTTGCATCCATAGATGTGGAATGACTACATTTTAACATTTTGTTCAAACTGAGGCCTCGAAAAACACTGCCTATGTTCTTACCCAGGAACACCAGCTTTGGGGATGAAAGCTTAATGCACCCCAAATACTCACCTCATCTTTCTATTTTCATTTGTTTTGTACCCTTTTTTCTACCTGTGGGTCAAGGTGCTAGAAATTAAGCTACGAGTAGAGTAGTTCATTCCCCACTTCTCAGCTAATTTTTTTCCATATTTGAATTGTGCATTGAATTATTCAGACTAGGGACTTGAGCCCAATACACCATAGCTCTCCTCTGGCCACAGGCCTATATCTCTTCGCTGTGGACAGAGTCTCTTTAGGCTACGTACTTACGACAGAGGCTTTGGGCTTTCCAGTGAGAAAGCACTGAAGCCTTTCCTTATCCAGTGCAAGAAAACAAACACAGTGCGCATATTTCTCCTAGACATATTTCACAAAGGTAGTGCATGCTCAGCTAGCATGTTTTGGAACAAACGAAAAACACAGTTAGTGAAAAGAGCTAAACTAAAGAATAAGGCTGATAGCAGAAGAAAATCCTAACAGGAAGAATGGGAAGTCTCCAAAGATGATTCAGAAGGTAGTAAAGGTCCCTGAGCTGCAAATAGTCAGGAGCTAGAAGCATACCCAGGGGAAGTATCTCCTTTTCCTGTTTTTATAATCTTTCCTCTTGGCTGCCTATCAGAAACATGATACAGGCGAGGGAGACCTTTGATATGATCCAGGGAGGCTGCTCTTACTTTATGATTGATGAGAGAAACAACAACAATAGCAGTTAAAAAGTAGAGAAGAGACAGAAAACTAGTTGCTCTGATCTGAATCAGCAGTTAAGAGCAACTGAAGGTCATTCAACTGCGGCAAGAGACAGATCCTCATGCAATAGTCCTAGTTATACTGCTTACGCAAGCGTGTTCCGGTCTCCAAGATGGGAGCATATAAAGTTCCAAGATGTCAACACATACATGGACAAACACCCGAAGGAGAAACCTCAAAGAATAATTCCTTAGTAAGAACAGAATATAGCAACTGTTGATTTGTTGTCTATTCATTACTTGGTGAAACTGTATTTTTTTCTTAAAAAAAAAAGTTCTCCAAATAAATATTTTTCAGTTGCTAATCTTAATAAGTAGGCAGTTATTACAGAAAATCTGGCAAGAATAAATGAGTGGGTTGACTCATGCATAGTTCTACATGGCTGAATAATGAAGGGTTAAACTGACGTATAACTTGCTCGTGTCTCCAGCCAAGAAATACAATAAAAATTAGAAAGTTCACTCCAAAATATATTAAAAATTAACATGAGTCTTAAAGATCTCAGAACTCCTAGCTGTGTAGAATAGTATCACAAGCCAACATTTTTAAAATATGGGGATTTTTGCTAAGTAGAAAAAAAACCCCACAAAACTTTGAAGATTAATTGGTACATTCTCTTTATTTTTATATTTAATCCAAGGAGTATTTTTACAAGTTATTTTATTCAGAACACAAAAAATAGGTAGCCCAATAGGAAAGAGCCTTTCTCCTTCTTTCCACTTGATATTTCAACCTTCTTTTGAGAGACATTTGGTCACTCAGTCTGAAGGTAACTGGCTGGAGATACTAGGTATACAGACACCTGCTCTTCCTGGTGTATTTCAAGATACACTCGAAAAAGAAAGGTGTTTTCTTTTTCAAGATTCGTGTGCTATTTAATAGCAAACCAGATGTCCTCCAAAACAGGATAATGATGAACCCCATGAGAATATAACGCTTTCTTGAAAGTCTAGAACATACCCAAGCAAAAAAAACCAAACAGATTCTTCAAAGAGGTCTTCAGGAGCAAAACAGGTACTAAAGCCTAAATATTTTGCACTAGTCATTGACTAACAAGAAGTATTCTCAACAGCTGTTATTCCCTGCTTCATTAGTGCACTCAGAACTAAACAGACATTCCTCTGGCAACAGTTCAAGGCTGGTGAGCACCTTGCAAACATCCTTCCAGCTCAACTCATAACAAGCAGGGGGAAAATAAAACCCCAAACTAAGACTGTCAGAGTACCAAGCAAATGTTACAAAAGCTAACGTGCTTTCCCAGGTTGTATAGAGAACAGATTAGCAGCTGAAAAGCATATATTTAAAAAGTAAATGCAGTATTGATACTCTTGTAGCCTCCGGGAAAAGGCAAGGGCTCTATATCATTGCAAGTCATTCATGATGTGGTTTACATCCATCCCATAGCCAAAGGAAAAATTATGTTACATTTGTTGTATTGCTTTGCGTATTCTTTGTTTCTAGAATAGGAATTTTTGAAACCATCACTTGTGTTTTAATGAGGTAACCTATACAGCCTACAATCCGCAGAAATTCAGAACTCCAGATAACCTACTATACAGCATCTGTCAGAACACTATTTACTTGTGAAGTTATTAATACATTCCCACCACATATATATAAAAAAATGTAGTCTCTTTCTCACTTCCATTAATGTAATTTACCTTCCATTCAGAACAGAATAATTGCAATCCCCAGCCAAAGGTAAGGAACAAAAAGGTACATCATATTTAAAATGATGTAGTTTAGTTATGTTCCAGACAGTAGGTATGTACTGTTGATGTGAGCAATATTTTTTTTAGGTAATCTGATACACCTTGATCTTCCAAGCACTTACATCACCTATTGCTTCTAGAAACATCTTGTACATTTAAAATTAACCATTTCTATATATGGGATAGCTTCTTTATTTAATATAAAAAAATGGTTTCAAAGTCCTTTATGTGAAGCCAAAATGTCAAAGCTATTTGGAGAAAAACTACACCTTTATCAATAAAATAAAGGTGCAGGAGCAACCTTAAAAAACCTAAACTTTATTTAGAATTTTAACTGAAACTTCCAGCAAACGGCTGAGTAAGTGGGGGATCTTTTTTGTAATTTCCTTGTTTCTCATCCCATCTGACTATTCTTCATTTAAAAAGGTAGTTCAGGAGGTAATCTGCCTATTTCATCGCAGACAGCTTTCTGTATTAAAATAAATTAACAGAAGTAACAAAACAACTAGTCAGTGCAGACATGTGGAACATAGATATTCACAACTGAAAATAATAGAAAAATATAGACTAAAGCCTGTTGGTCTCAAAATATTTTACAAGTTTCAGTATCATTATCTTCTCTTTGTAAAGGAAGAGTTTGCTGAAGATCACCATGTAAGCTAGTTGCAAAATGAGAAAGCCTCAGCCCACACTAGATCTACATAACTCCCTATATACATATATATATTCATAAAGAAGTACAGAGAGGAAAACAAGCACCATGTATTGCACAATGAAAAAGTTGAACACAAAAATGGAGAATGAAAAAATATTATTTTGGAATTTCCATTAACTCTTTAGTAAAAACTCCATCCCTCCGAAATTCACACGCAAAATATATGATTCCTTACACACCCAAATGTATGGTGTTTACAAATGCTTGCAATAACATGCATTATTCTCTACCAAGAGTGTCAAAAACAATTTCCTGTTTTGCTTGAAGTAGGTCTGATGAGTTATTAGTTTCTAGAGCAATCAGCGATATTAAGAGCAAAACTTACAAAAATTACTGTATTTACACTTCCTTTCTTCCACCTACGCAGAAACTCACCATTAGATTGGTAACGCTTCCTAAAGGTTAGAACACATACACAGAAAATGCAAAAAGCAGATTTCAACTCTTGCTTAACCCAGACTATTGTATGTGCTTGACCTGACCCAGAGCTCCCTTAAAGTGAATCTTTTGACTATCCAGTGGACTTCAGGACTGGTCATCAGCACCACCGTCCCCCTTCCACCAGTGAACATATAGTAACCGTGCTCAGATTTAAAAGGTGCATTCCTTCCAAGACTCTGAATAAAGAAGAAGGAAGTAGGAACACAGAACTACTTACCTGAAAGGCCTGTATACAAAAATCCTAGTCAGCAAAAAAACAGCATGTTAACCATTACAATGTAAAGACAAACTATTAAGCATCTACATAAAACTCGGGAAACTTCATACTTCTCTTCTTGATGCTGGTCCTCTTGGTCACTTAGTTCATCATCATCTACCATATGCCCAAATGGTTCAGAAGAAATTGATACCATATTAGACAGGATAACTCTGCTATCACTGCTTCCTGTAAGGATCAGCTGATCATGAGAATGATTGTATCTGACATTCCAGACCCTAAAAAATGAAATCAGAATCAACAACGGCTATTCTTGGCAGGTAGTGCATCAATGTTAAATGATTATTTTTTTTAAAAAACAGCACTAAAAATTGATCTTTGATTTTAGTGTTGTAAGTACACACAGAAGCAACATGCTTCATTCCAAAGACTGGTTTTTGCCATCTTCATTTGGCTTTTAAGCTTGCACATCATCTGTTTTACACGAGGCGTCTTTAAAATTAAACAAGTAAGTTCTGAAAAAAATAACCCAAAGAACAAAACACACCATTCAGTGGTATCATTCCTTGAGGGCACATGCCAATTCATTGTTTAGTAAATCAGATAAATATTTAAGTTCCAAATATAAAAATTCCCCTAAAGCAAAATACAGATTAGAAATAACCCATTAAATAAAAATCTCACAACATTCTTACAGTAAAGTTTAAAATAGACCCTAAAACAAAAGTAGGATTATATTTCTCTTCAATTTTTACGTTTTACATATCAAGTTAATACTAAATGTCTTATAGTTCTTGTTTTATTCTTTTTCTTTTAATCTTCTGGAAAAAAGTACAAATGCTGCTTCTGTTAATTCACATCTTCATTTCCGTCAAAGTAGCTTCAGGGTCCAGATTTATTTCGCAAGAATTACTCCAACCCAAATTTTATAAAATATGAACTGCTCATCTCTTAATCACTGAAGTCTGCAAACATCAGACAAGATTCTCTCCTTGCTCCAGCCACAGGCGAGAGCAGTAGATACAGGCTCTAAATATTATCTCAGAGAATAAAATGACTTGCATATTCTGGCTTAAGGGCTGTAAAAAGCATGAAAAAAGTGGGGCTCAATTATTGAGCATTTCAACCATTCAACGGAAGGACAGACAGCAGCTGCTTTTCTGCATGTCAGGTGGAGCAGATGAGGCTCAATATGGGAAGACACACCTTGTCCCAGCTGGCCCCTACAAGCCAAATTCTGTGCTGTGCTTCTCAAAGGCGTACCCTATGCCCCAACAAGGTCAAAAACAGTTTCTTGCCAATTAGACTAACATTGTCTAAAACTCTTAATTTACAATCACACGAGTAACATTCACATGTTGAAACCTTTCCTCTGTGCAGAAAAATGATTATTCACAATAGCACAAACAAAGTTAGCTTGCATTGTTCCTAAACAGTAAAATAATTAGCTGAATAAATTACATAAGCCATCCACCCGCAAAACAGCATGCGGATAATTTGTTCTACCAGTGGGAATGCTCCTCTAGTGTCTTCACTGGTTCAGTGACATTTCTTGTGTCCCAGAATTTCACCTTGCAGTCATCTCCACAGCTAGCCAGGTAGTACTGTTTATTGGGATTAAAGTCTAGGTCTCGTACCAGCTGTCCGTGTGCATTTTCTATGCCATATATCTGTCTGTAAAACACATTAAAAAAATTAAATGGTCTATAAAAAGCTAACTGCACTCCACTGACAGGAATCTGTTTCCCTGGAAACTTGCATAATCCCCATAGCACCCGCAGACCTACAGCTCCCATTGCTAGTGCACAGTTTAGGGAAATCCCAGCTGTTAACAACAGCGACTTGTATAGATTTCTCAGCTTGCTCTGAAGCTTTGCTCTTTCCTTGTTTGCATTAGGATCATCTGGAGCTAAAAGGAAACAGTAGTTCCAGATGATTCTAGCAAAGCTCTTTAACAACTGTTATGAAATTTCTGCTACTAAACCACAGTATTTTCCAGTAAGAGCTTCTCCACCCCACTAAGTAGTTATACTAATTCTGTATTTATGACATCTAGTTCTCCCTATATGAAAAGCTGAGATGCAAGGGATGCATCAACAGCTTTTTATTATTGCTCTATTTTGAATTTACCTTCTTAAGCTCTGGCATTTATAATTAATTTACCTGTGGCCCTTAAACTGCTCAGCCATGCGCATACTTATCCATCTGAATCACTTCAGAAAACATTTGTAGTACTGCTAACGACCTAGCATCCTTATTCAAAACATCACGTTCCATCAGGTTGTCTCCCTACCTTGCCTCTTAAACTTGAGGTTTGGGTTGGGTTTTTTTTTCCATTATTGCATTACCGGTTTTCTCAATGCCACCATCGTCCAAAGCTCTGCTTAGATTTGACAGTCTCATACAATCTTCACCAGAATTTGTCAATGAGCTTTTTTCTTTTTTTAAATAAATTTTTCACTTCAGAAAACATAAACTGACCAAAACTTTGTATTCTTTGCACTCTACATATCGTCTCCTGTCAAGTCCAGATAGAGAAGTCTCTTGCTATTAATACCTAACTACTAATACAAAGCAAAGTAACTCCATAAGTACCAGGCCTATACTAAGCCCTATCCTGACAGCTATGGCAGTGTCTCAGGATAGTGATCCCGCCTGGAGTACCGCATCCAGTTCTGGAGACCTCAGCACAGGTAAGACACGGACCTGTTGGAGCGAGTCCAGAGGAGGGCCACAAAAGTGATCAGAGGGGTGGAGCACCTCTCCTGTGAGGACAGGCTGAGAGAGTTGGGGTTGTTCAGCCTGGAGAAGAGAAGGCTGCATGGGGACCTTATTGCGGCCTTCCAGTACTTAAAGGGGGCCTACAGGAAAGGCAGGGACAAACTTTTTAGCAGGGCCTGTTGTGACAGGACAAGGGGTAATGGTTTTAAACTAAAAGAGAGAAGATTTAGACTAGACATAAGGAAAAGAAAGTTTTTACCGTGAGGGTGTTGAGACACTGGCACAGGTTGCCCAGAGAGGTGGTAGATGCCCCATCCCTGGAAACATTCAAGGTCAGGTTGGACGGGGCTCTGAGCAACCTGATCTAGTTGAACATGTCCCTGCTCATTGCAGGGGCGTTGTACCAGATGACCTTTAAAGGTCCCTTCCAACCCAAACTATTCTGTGATTCTATTATATAGAGGATATTACTTAGATATCCAACATCAACACTCTTCTCAGAGTTTGAGATGTTAAGGATATCACTCAGGTACACCTTTCTACAGGGTATTCTGGGAGCTGGATTTAACGCTTCCTCTTAATTTCTTGAAACATTTTTATGGGTTATTTCTTAAACCTTAAGCATGCTTGCAGCAATAAAACACTTCTTTTCTCCTTGACTGCACCGTTTACTTCTTTCTTGCACTGCTTATGGAGATGTATGTAAGGGCTTAAAAAGAAATACCACTGTCCAATGTATATTCAGTAGTTCTTACCATGAAAGCCTTTATCCCAACATAACTATTATTATGACTGCTTGATCCCTTTCCTTCCCAAATATGAATATTCTTTTCTTTCACTCTATCATCCTACCTACAGCATAATACCTACACTGAATTTCCCACTTATATTTTAATTAAGATTAAGGCCAGACCACATGAACATTTTCTCCATCTACTGGATCCACCTTCTCATTTCCTCTTCTTCAACATTTTTTAGAATTTATTCTCCGAGTCTGAATTTTCCTGATACAATTCTCTCCCTAAATCCATTCAGCCTAGTGTCTGTCTCCTCTGCTTCACAAGCTATTCTCTGATTAAGATTGCTTCCTAGTCTAGTCTAGGGGTCTTCCCACCAACCTCATTTTTCCCCTCCCCTTCTTTGCTTACTATGTCCAAAATCATTTACTCCCTCTATCTTACAGCTATCATAATCACACTTTACAGAAGTGGCTATTCTAGCTACTGCTTTAGTATCTCTCCTCTCCTGTTGTTTGCTGGTATAGCAGTTTTCTGTCCTTGATTTTGTTTTCCCTCTCATTTTTTTGCTTCTTATACTGACACAGTTTATACTGCCTTGACTTTAAACTCCTACTTCTAGCCTAACTAGTCATTATCAAATATTCACATCATTCTAGACATATTACAGTGTAATTGCAGATGAGACTTATTCTTGCACATATTTTTCAAGTACATTGCAAACAGCAATTGGCATAGCCTAGTACTCGTAAATTGGTTCAAGGACTATCTAACCTGAGCTTCACTTAAAGTAATTAGAATTGTGGGGTTTGCTTTTGTTAACCAAGCTACCCTCTCACTGAGGATCTTGTTAATATCTGGACAACCTATCTTTCATAAAAGTTACTCAGAGTATTCATTTCATGCAAGAGAGAGATGCTTCTTCTAATGAGACAGAGCATAAAGCAGACTTCACAGCATTTAAACTGTGAAAAACTTAGAAACACAGGCTTTAATCTTAAAGGTCTGCATACTATATGTTAGAAATAGGATGATTACAAAAAAATTTAAAAATTGAACTTAAAAAAAACCCTTTCTCCTTTGACCTTTCTTTCCTCTCTTGTACACTTCATTTAAAGGAATCTTCATAAATGAAAATATACACATATATATCAAGTTAGATTTTTATACATCCCTTTACAAGGCAAAGAATAGGACTTTCAAATCTGACGACAAGCATACAGGAAGTGACTTTTAATTATTATATTTGTATTTTTAGCTTTTGTTTCTTAAATTAAATAAACCTTTTTGGCAAAAACATATAAGGCGGCAAACATGGGGATTTATTGCTACACCCCTGAGCTGACTGGAACCATAGAACTAAATTTAAAGTCATCCCCCTTTAAGGCAACGAAAGTTATTACAAGACATCAGTCTTCTCGGTTTAGTGATAAATTACTATGTGCTAAGGGGATAAAGCGTATCTTAAAAAAGCTTGCACAGGCTTTAGTAGTCATGGCAACAGATGTGCACAACATCACTCCTTTGCTTATCAAAATCACAACTGAGCAGGGGGGGAAACACCTTATTAGGTATATTCAAAGCTTTAATTGATTTGGTTATGACTTTGATAGATTCAGTAGTTTCATATAACTAGCATGGTACAATCTTTAATATAGTATGGTATGCTATTTGTTAAAATCAGAAAAGATTGAACTTAACCTGTGAATTACCTTCAGAGATTGAAGTTACCTTTAAATAGTATGCCATGAAGACAGTTCATAGCATAGCCAGGAATGTTGTTAAATCATTTTCAGGCTGAATTACAGAACAGCTTCATTCAGGTAATGTCTATGTATTGAGCAAATCATCTTGAGACTAGTACATAGTTCAGTAAAATTCAATATACAAGCTAGAATTAAAGCTGAGGGGGGGAAAACAGAGAAAACTCTTTACCAACTTGTAAATATACCAGCCATGCAAGCCCAAGCGTTCCTTTTATAAGTCATAGCTTTGCCACATTTCTGATCTTAAAATAAAAATAAAAATATTAGGAGCACTGGGAAAAAAAAAAAAAAAAAAATCTATCTCCAAAGGAGATTTGTCTTTTTTAGAGAACAAGACTGAAATTTCTCAGTACCTCATGCTTCGTGTATCCCATCCTCGAACAGTGGTATCATTGGCTGTTGCAATCTGTGTACAATTGTGGTGTGGACTCCATCTTCCAGAAGTAAATTTTAATTGTCCTTTCCCTTCCAAGGCAGCAGAACTAGACAGCTAAAATAACAAAACAAAGCTGGCAATGTTTCCGAATGTAATGCTAAAATGAAATTAGTTCTACTGAAGACAAAAACTGCACAATAGCCTATTGTTCCAAGTGAGTGTAACAGACTACCAATATCCTAGGACAAAAAATGGAAAAAGTTAAAAGCTACAGCTGATTTTGTATCTCACAAAATAATTTTTACGAAGGCTTATGCAGTGTAACATGTTCACAAATATTAGAAGTACTGTACTACATAAACTAAACAGTTTCAGATCATTTGTTGAAACAGTAGATAGACAATAGGGGCACAAAGCACAAATTTGTAGCTGCCTCAGACAAATAAACACACATAAACAGTCTTACAAAACTGTTTTTGTATGTCAAAATGACAAATTTTATCTGTAGAAACAGAATCATAGTGTCAAAGACTCCTTGATAAATGTATAGCCGCTTTAAAAAAAAAAAATCTAGGCCCAGATGCCCATGTCATCACATAGATGCCTATTACAATAACAGCAGGTACTAGATCACAAATCTACGATCTGTGAGAACTAAAGATCTCAGTTCCAAAACCAGGCTTGTATGTCATTGAGCAGCCAGCTCTGCATCTTCACAGTTAATAAAAAGAAGGTACAAATTAATCAACTTTCTCTTTGAAGTTGTGCAGCTAGTAATACTCCAATTCCATCCAATTCAATGTAAACATGGGGGAAAATGAAGCTGCATACACTGCAAATTACTTTTACTTCTAATCACTTACTGAAAATGATTAATATCTAAAGGGGGAGGGAGGGGAGGAAAACCAAAATTCGTGCATTTTAATCAGATATAAAATTTATACAAATTTCAAGTAGCGAGGCAGACACCAGACTTATTTGGTCATCTTTCACACAATGTTCATCTTTCAAAATGTTTCATTAAGAGGTATTTCACAAAAGCAGATTACTGCAGTGGATCTCATGGGATCACTTTTCTCCTTTACCTAAATCCTAACACATCATAAATATTCTATTAAATAGAGGATTTCTCAGCAGAAATATTACACTTTGATGGATGAAAAAGACTGAAACATACATACTGCTTACATAAACTTTAATTGACATCAACAGTAAAACACACTGTCAATACAAGACTGCTTAAATTTATTTGTATATGGTACCAATGTCCACTTCTGTATTTTGCTAACTTTTTATTCTTACATTCCACCAAGAATATCATATTTATTTAGCGTTCAGATTAACAATTTAGAAATTACAACTCTTATATCACTGAAGTCTATGCTACCTAAGAAGTGGGGTCTTCCAAAATTTTTCAGGTTGTTTTTTTTTTTTTTTTTTAAAGAATGTAGAATTTCCAGCAGGCAAAATCATATATTGCTTATCTGTTAATGAATAACACTGTGGCCAAACCTGCTCCCCTAGCACCATCCCTCCTCGAGTACAAAAACTGCCTGAAAGCCCTTCTATAACTTGCAGGTTATTAACACGAAGAAAAATACTGCACAGGACACTGGATGCAGGATAATAAACTAAACCACACTGATTATTTTTTGACACATACTAAATTCCAGGCGCAAGAGAACATGCAGAACTTGAGTGGGTCATTTCAAAAATTAAACAAAGTTTCTCTTGTATGGCCGAGACTGCTTACTAAGCTCAGGCTCAGGGGAGAGGAGGGAAGCGAATGCAAACAATGAGAACAAGAGGGAATGGCTTCAAGCTCCGACAGGGTAGATTTAGACTGAACATTAGGAAAGAATTTTTCACAGAAAGAGTGGTCGGGCATTGGAATAGGCTGCCCAGGGAGGTGGTTTAACACATCCCTGGATGTGTTTAAGAGATGTTTAGATGTGGTGTTGGGGGATATAGTGTAGGGGAGAACTTTGTAGAGTAGGGTAGATGGTTGGACTCGATGATCCCAAGGGTCTCTTCCAACCTAGACAATTCTATGATTCTATGATTCAAACACTGACAGTAAGACACAGTGCCAACAAAACCAGTATCTCTTATCAGGTATTTCCAAAATCTGTTCTTGATACAGAAAGCATCATATATACAAAATACGGGAAAGGTGGTCTTTGTAAGCAGTAGACAACACTTTCTCCAGCATTCCAGCCATATTTTATTTTTTTAGGTCTTCATTTCAACTTTTATCATGTAAAATATTATAAAAAGATCATTTTTTTTTTCTTTTTAGTCAGAAATTCAGGGGTGAGGCCAGCACACGCATCATGCGCTATTTCTTAACAACACATATGAAAAAAATCACATACGGGTTAGATTGGCCAAGTCATCCTTGCCTTCCCAAGCAATTCTTAAGTACTTGCAGGAATTAAATGACATCTTTCCTCATATGGATGTCCAACTATGTATACAGCCAAGATCCAAATCAACTCAGGGTAGACTTCTGTTAACAAAATGAAATCCCAGAAGTTACTGAATAAGTTTTTATTCAATGTTCTTTTGCATGTTTTCTATGAGCCTGAAAGAAATTACATGGATTTAAACAAAAGCTAAGAGGTAAGGGAGGGAAATTTTCATATACAAGAAGGAATCCTTATGTAACAGAAGGAAGTCTGCAAGTTTCCTTCCTGGAAATCCAAGAAATGAGCTTAAAGGAAACAAAGCTGGTAGTTTGGAATCACAAATGCAGGTTCAAAAAAAACCTTAGCTTTAGTTTTAATTCATATCTAAATGAACAGACAGGTAAGCAAGCTTTCTTGAACTCCTCCCTCCACTTCTTTAAAGGCAGAAATGTTGACTACAGAAGGAAAGAAAAACATGACAAAGGCATATTTTAGATATTAATCTCACATAAGGATTTGGATTTCTGCTGGCCAGAAGATGAAGACATGCAGCTCTGAGGGCCTCACTGGATATTGAAGGAAAACAAATCATGGTAATATTTTATAAACACAAAATGTAATTTACATTAAGGAAAAAAAAGGAAGTAAGAGCTGATGTCTAGATTTAGACAACAGAATTAGCTATTGTTCTTGCATTGTGCAAAGATCACACGTTGACTTTAGGAAAAAAGTCTGGACAAAATGAAATCTTGAACAGTGTAAAATGGTTATCAGAATATGGATGGATTTAACACTGTGCATATGGGATCACTGCCTAAAGCTGGTGACATAAGAACAATAACAAAAGGGCAATATGATATCATACTACATTGCATGAGAGCAATGATTTGAAATAAAAATAAAAGGCTCTGAAATAAATAAAGCCACATAGTATGACTGGAATAGAACTGTGTATGTTATCCTCAATGAAGGAATGGGTTTTACAAAACCAAAATATGTGAATATGAAAAAGTCCATCCTAGCTTTGAAGGACTGATTTCTGTGTATTCAAATTAAAACATCAATTACTCCAACTTATTTTCATCAAAACATCAGTAAGGACTGAGATGCCTCTTTCTCTGCTTCAAATTCTGATCTCATAAAGACTAATTTGGAAAGAGAAAAGGATGGGCAGTATCCTTAAAAAAAACCCAACCCCACATATATTAACCTCTAGTGGGTACAGAAATTATCTAGAAAAAACACAAGCAGCATGGAGACAGTGAACCAATTGTTCACGCTCTCTTCCATAAAAAGAGCTATGGGCTATTGAATGAAGCATGTAGAAGTCAGATTCAAAAGTAAACAGAAAAAAAAAAAAAAAAAGGCAGTTCTCTACCCAGTGGACTTCTTGACAAAAGACACTCGAATGCATAAAGCTTACTTACGTCCAAGAAGAAAATAGGAAAAGTGTTTGGAAGAAACATCTATTGAGGGTTACACTAAGTAGACAAACCAAATCAGGCTCAGAAAAGTCCTTGGATTGAAAAGAGTAGAAGATTGTCTGAGTGTTAAGGGCAAAGTATCCAATACATTTGCTCCACTCAACTTTTCCTTGGAGTTCACTATGGCCACTGCTTCAAGCAGAACACTGGGGCTGGACAGAACCGGGTATGGACCAGTGTAACCATTCTTAGAACTGAGCAGCATGAAGCGAACGAATGGCAGAATTTTTTCTTTCTTTTTTCTTTGTGTGGTTTTTTTTTTGTTGGGGTTTTTTTGTTGTTTTTTGTGTGGTTTTTTTTTTTTTTAATGTATGAACTAATTCTAAAGTAGAATGGCTAAAAACTAACAATTATGTCATGCATTTGGAAGGTCAGTTATTTCCCTCAAGCAGACTTTGACACAAACCATTAGAAAACATCTCCCAAGAATAAAATATTTAGAAAATAGAGAATGTTCTAATGCTCTAATTTGATTAATTTAAAAATTCATACAACATCTTTCTGGATAACAAAAAAGTACCAAATTAAAGTAAATGCTACATTTCTTAGTAGGTATGAAGGGTTATCAGCAATAATCAAGCAATGTTCTTACAAGAAAATGAAGACTAGCATAAAAATGTTAAAAACATGAAGTTTTCTTTGCTGTTGATTAAAAACAATCCACTTGATAGACCGTCTAATATTGGCACACAGATTAGTATCTTAGTTTCAGAATTTTCTTACTTGAAAAAACAGGATTATCAGTCATTACATAGGGAGAGCAAAAGATACAAATTTCTATGTAAAGGTTTAACAAATGCAGCAATCTACTAAATAATTATTAATATATCAATATCCTGCACTTTTTGTGAAGGAAATTGCTTTGCTTTCCTTTCTTGACAAAAATGGCCATTACAATTTGAGGTACATTAAATATAGTGTTGGGGTCTTTTGAACACTTAGAAATTATTTGGAAGATAAAAACCCAGAAAACTTTTACTTGATAAATGATAAAACTTGCCTTTTGACTTATGAATGCCTTTTTTTAAAAAGATGAATGTTTAGGTAATACTTTTATTTTTCTTACCACTACAGCAGCACCTGTGTTTTAATTAGAATAAATAAATAAAATAAACCAAAAAAGCCCACAACAAACAAACAAAAAAAACCCACAAAAAAGTGAACAGAATAGAAATCTCCCATCTTACCTGAGAGGTCATAAGACTAAAAATCTGATGGGCAT